CTGTGGGAGCTTCTTCAGCCAATTGGGTATGATCTCTTAAAGACTGAAGGGGCTCCCACAGCAGGGAATTGAGACCATTGATATTGAGAAATGTCAATACCAATGGTTGTTGTTCCCTGTTACCTTGGTGGTGGTGCTAGTAGTGATGGTGATGATATGCGTGTGTATGTTTCCACTCTTTTCTCTGCTGGACTGAGATTATTTGTTTTCCATATTTTTGTGGGTGTAATTATCATCTTTAGGTTGGGGTTTTCCTTCTAGTTCCTTCTGTTAAACTGGATTTGTGGATAAATGTTGTTTAAATTTGGCTTTACCATAGAATTTGTTGTTTTCTCCAGCTATGATGATTAAAGGTTTGGATGGGTGTAGTAGTACAGACTGGCATCTATGGTCTCTTTTGATTTGTTTCACATATGACCAAGTCCTTTTCCAATTTAGTGTATCCATTGTTTGGTTTTGTTTTATTTTTGTTTTGATTTATTGTTGTTTGTGGTGTTTGGTTTAGTTTATTTGTTGGTTTTGGTGGGTGTCTTTTCCTTGGTTCTGTTTTCTTTCTGGATTTTGTGAGACTGTGATGACTGTATTTTGACTGTTAGAAAATTATCTCTGAATCTGTGGCTACCTGGGGTCCCAGGTAAAATGAGTTTCTGAGAATTGTGAGCTGAAACTTAGGGGTTAGGCTATGATTCTAAAGTGCCCTATGGGAAGCAGGAGAAGAGCAGAAATATTCCAACTGGATCTGCTTATTTAGTCTCCTTGAAATAAACATATATAGCGATGAAAGATCACTGAGAAGGTTGGAGATTGCACTAGGAATGGACTGAAAGACAAAATCAGGATCACAGAAAACAGAATTGGGGAGGGAATCTCTATAGGCAGTTTACCTTCTTCTCTGACAGGAGTGGCCTTTGGTTTAGCAGGGGTACCTGCTGTATTTGTTGCCTGGGATAAAGCAACAAGTGGGAGGAGATATTTTAGGAGGGTAAGATCTGGTTGATTTATAAGAATTTTGCTCAGGGATTAGGAAAGGCTACTTTGGGTGTTCTGTTGTAGAACTGGGTTTGAGACTATACAAGAGAGGGAGAGATAAATATCTACAGTCAACCTACCTGGTTCTCTGGCAGGAGTCAAAAATGATACTTCCATTATTTAATGAAGATCAAATTATTTTAAGTAGAAAAGCAACATGTAGGTAGTCAAATTTTCCTTTTTATGTTCACAGCATTCTTCATCCTGAACACCATTAAATAACACAATTAGTAATAGGAAAGTGTTCAGACTACATATTCTTATATTGTACAAATAATGTATATGCCATAAATGTGTTCTGGAAAAGAAATTCCAATACTCAGGTTTGAATTTAGACAAACTCCTCAGTAAATTGATTTTTAAAATGATATGTAAAATGATCTGATGAATAGAATTCCACAACTGTAATTTGTTTATATTAGATACAACAAACTCATCAAATTAGGCATATATTTTGTTGTAAAACTTAACCTTTAAAGGCTGAGCCATCTATCTCTAAAACCCTTATCAGAACAGAAAGCATTATATAGCAATAACTGTAGTTACAGACACTGTATGCCACCCTGTGTGTGCTGGGATTCAAATCCAGACCATCTTGAAGCACGCAAGTGCTTTCCAGCCTGTAGAATTTATGAGACATTTTGAGGTCAAAGGTCATTAGCACCAATGTTCTGAGGTTGCAATAATTATTGTCCATGAATATTTTCATTCACCCCACCCCCACTCCCAAGCTCCCAAGTTTTGCTGGAGATCTTGTCTGCTTCAAATTTCCAGGGGGATCTATCTATGTCTTCTATGGATTCACACTATTACGTAGCTTCTCTAAGATCATGAACTATAGGCTCAATGTCCTTTGTTTATAGCTAGAATCCACTAATGAGTACATACTGCAATCATATTTTTGGGTCTGGGTTATCTAACTCAGGATAGTGTTTTCTATTTCAGTACATTTGTATGCAAAATTCTAGATGTCATTGTTTATTACTACTGAGTAGTACTCTAATGTGTAGATGTGTCACACTTTCTTTATCCATTCTACCACTGAGGGGCACCTAGGTTGATTCAAAGTTCTGACTATTACAAATACTGCTGCTATGAACATAGTTGAACAAATGCTTTTGTAGTATGATTGGGCATCTCTTGGGTATATTCCCAAGAGTGGTATTGCTGGATCCTGAGGTAGGTTGACTCACAATTTTCTGAGAAACCACCACACTGATATCCAAACTGGTTGCTGAAGTTTGTATTCCCATCAGCAAAGAATGAATTTTCCTCTTACTCTGCATCCTCTCCAGAATAATCTATCATTGGTGTTTTTTATTTTAGCCATTCTGACAGGTGTAAAATGGCATCTCAAAGTTGTTTTGATTTGCATTTCCCTGATAGCTAAGGAATTTGAACATATCCTTAAGCATCTTTTGGCCATTTGAAATTCTCTTGAAAATTCTCTGTTTAGTTCAGTACCCCATTTTTTTAATTGGGTTATTTAGAATTTTTGGGTTTAGTTTGTTGAGTTTTTTATATATTTTGGAGATCAGTTTGTTGTCTAACGTGGAGTTGGTGAATATATTCTCCCATCCAGTAGGTTGCCTTTTTGTCTTAATGACAGTGTCCTTTGCTTTACAGAAGCTTCTCAGTTTCAGGAGGTCCCATGTGTTCATTGATGTTCTTGTTGTCTGTACTACTGGGGTTATACATAGGAAGTGGTCTCCTGTGCCCATGTATTGCAGGCTACTTCCCACTTTTTCTTCTATCAGGTCCAATGTGGTCAAATTTATATTGAGGCCTTTAATCCATTAGGACTTGAGTTTTGTGCATGGTGATAGATATGAATCTATTTTCAGTTTTCTACAGGTTTACATTCAGTTATGCCAGCACCATTTGTTAAAGATGCTTTCTTTCTTTCTTCCATTGTATAATTTTAGCTTCTTTGTTAAAAATCAGCTGTTCATAGGTTTGTGGATTAATATCTGGGTTTTCAATTTTATTCCATTGGTCAACGTCTCTGTTTTTATGCCAATACCAAACTGTTTTCATTACTGTGGCTCTGTGATGAAGTTTGATGTCAGGGATGTTAATGCTTCTGGAAGTTCCTTTATTGTATAGGATTGTTTCAGCTATCCTGGGTGTTTTGTTTTTCTATATAAAATTGATTATTGTTCTCTCAAAGTCTGTGAAGAATTTTGATGGAATTTTGATGGGGATTGCATTGAATCTATAGATTGCCATTGGTAGTATTGCCAATTTTACTATGTTGATTTTACCAATCCAAGGGCATGGGAGATCTTTCCATTTTCTGGTATCCTCCTCAATTTCTTTCTTCAATAACTTGAAGTTCTAATCAAATAGATCTTTCACTTTCTTGGTTAGTTTTACTCCAAAATATTTTATGCCATCTGTGGCTATTGTGAAAGGTGATTTCCCTCTCTGCTTCTTTATCCTTTGTGTATAGGAGGGCTACTTATTTTTTGAGTTGATCTTATATCCTGCCATATCACTGAACGTATTTTCAGCTATTGGAATTCTCTGGTAGAGTTTTTGGGGTCACATATGTACACTATCATATCATCTGCAAATAATGAAAGTCTTACTTCTTCCTGTCCCATTCAAATCCCTTTTATCTCCTTCTGTTGTCTTATTTCTACTGTCAGAACTTCAAGCACTATGTTGAATAAATATGAAGAGAGTGGACAGCCTTGTTTAGTTCCTGATTTTGGTGGAATCACTTTGAGTTTCTCTCCATTTAATTTGATGTTAACTGTCGGCTTGCTGTATATTGCTTTTATTATATTTAGATATAATCTTTGTATCCATTATCTCTTTAAGACCTTTATTATAAAGGGGGGTTGAATTTTGTCAAATGATTTTTCAGCCTCTGATGAAATGATCATATGTTCTTTCTTTCAGTTTATTTATATGATGGATTACATTAATAGATTTTCATATGTTGCTAAACACTTTTCATATTTTGCAATTGACAATGTTATGGTCTGACTTCAAATTAGAGAAAAACAGAGAAAATACCAGCAAGAGGCAATAATCTGAACAATTAACTCAGAATGTGTTAGGTTTTTAAAAATTTTATTATTTTCTTTTATATATGAATGTTTTTCTGCATGTATGAATATGTATCACTGGTGTACCTGGTGCCAAACGGGTTCAGAGAAGGGTATTAGATACCCTAAAATGATGTTACAGATAAATAAACCACATACATATGTCTGTACCTCTTATAAGAGGACTGTCAACAGGGGTAAAGTAAATGGATCTCACTGATAATAGTGTGCACATTGAAAAGAATGGATTCCTGCTAACATTTGGGGCATTATCATCTAATGCCTGAAGAGGAAACTACAAAACAGAAATGGCAGAGTTGACTCAAAGATCATAGAGTCATATCTAATTGGACAGCCTGCAGGGATTGATTATCTCTTTCTACCAGTGTTTCCTGATATCTTTACGTGCTGAGCCACCTCTGAGCCCCATAAGCTGCATATCTTCCATAAGACTAACTGAGGTCAAAAGTTGTGGTCTTAAACGAAAAATATTCCATGTAAAGCCTTGGATGTTTTCCTTAATTTTCTTTCAATATTTGCTTTCCAGGGGACAGATTACAAAATGGGTTAATAATGAAAAGAGAACAGACTGCTATTGAAAAGCAAAATATATGTGACTGAGCAGATAAGGAACATTGGAAAGAAACACAAATAACTACAATGAGCTGAAGATGAGAAATTTTTGAGATCAAAATAAGATGTGAAGTTAACATCTTAGAAAAAAAGATACACCAAGCATGAATTTTTCATCACTTTGTAAGCTGAAGTATAGATTTGTAGCAAATGCAGTGTGTTTTAGCAAGTTTAGTATCTTTCAAATGTATGAATACAGAAAGATTTCATTTATTTTGTGGGAGAATGATAAACTTACATAAAATTGCTCCATAAACAATTAAATTACAAACAAGTCTAAAACATTCCACCTTCACAAGCAGTGGTGTTAAGAGCCATTCTTACACCACACTTATCTTCAGACACTTTTCCACTGAAGGTTATTTGCCCTCTAAGGTGTTGCAAGCATCATTTGGATGTTACCTTCATGTGCCTCACTTTGTATCCTCAAACTTTTCTTTATTGGGTATTCAATTACAATTCACCACAGAAACTGCCAAAAAGATTCATAATAAAAGGTTAATCTGGGACCTTTATGTAGGAAACTCTCTTTCTTCTACCTTACTTTATTGTTATTAGCTATGGTAGACTAGGCATGCTATAATGCTACTTTCCCACTCTATTTAGGTGAGATTGCTTTTAATCCTGTTCTTTGACATTCTCTCTTCTGTCTCTTTGCTTTTGCTTAGTATTCTTTGGGAGACTCCATATTTTTTTTTTACTTTTCATTGAACTTGGCATATCTGCTGTATAACTATATATTCACCAGAGATCTAATTTTTTTTCTGAATGCAATTTTAATGTCTGCACCAAAACATACTCTTATTTCATAGCTGAACATTCTCCTCTCAAATGATAATAATTTTCTCCAAGTCTATCTATTACTCTGTGAAATTTCACCTTACCATTCTTGGTGACTTTGTCTGTCTTCAAACTAGAGATGTTTCTCAATGCTTTACGCTTCTTGATTGACAGCTGATATCTAAAATTGGGGATTGAAAAGTTACCTGGAAGCTCCAAGCTGATTCTGAGGGTAGACAACTATGGTATTGTTGAGGGGTAATTCAAAATTTATGTGAGAAAAGTATCACTGTAAATACCTTGAACTCCTTTTTCTTGGGCTTATTGGTCCCACACCATAGGAATAAAAGAAAAATTTGCCTAGGACACATGATATGCATCGTTACATGATAATTTTATGCAATTACATTTTTCATGATTAAAAAAATTTTCTCCAAAAGATCCACCTTTCCTGAAAGCCTTGTTTGTAAATGGGGATAAAATCAATTCCACTGCATCTCTTAGAAAACTAAGCTCCCTGAAAATGAGAAAATAATACCAGGACACCTTTAGTTTATTTACAGGATTATGAGCAGAAGATAAATCTTCGTCCCAGGGAAGCATACACTATTAGTTATAACAATGAAGAGACTTATCAAACAATTCACACCAAGGAAAGAAAGCCCAATATTGAGTAACATGGTAACCAGGGAGGAGGACATTGCTTCAAATAAAATATACTTAGTTATCTTTATAGTCAGGAAGCATTCTGAAAGAGTTCTTGCAATAGTCTTCTGTGCCTCCATTTCACCAAAAGTGTAGTGAAGGGTATGTTGCTGTGAGTTGCACCAACAGAAGGGACCATGACTCACCTGTTCCAGGCTGCTGATATAACAAGGCTTCCTTTCCTCTTATAGTCATAGTCTTCTCAACTAAACTTCAGATTTTTCAAAATTTCAATAGAGTTTCTCTGGAGGATTAACATAGGAAAGAAAAATAAATAATGAAATAAATGGAAGCCAAGATCCATGCTTGAGGAAAAGGTAGATCTATTTTATGTGACCTTGACTTTTCACACACTTGTTTTCTCTGGTACAACTACAGTGTTCTGTGTAGGACAGCCAAGAATATTACAAATGACAGCTAAAAACAAGCATGATTCAAGAGTAAGGTATTTTATTTAACACTATAGTTTTATGTGACTAGTGCAATTTTTATTGTAATGTTATAAATAAGGATGTAAAGTAAAACAAGTACCTTCTCTAAAGAAGCATGGCTTAATGGCAAAGGGTATCCTGATTCCTCCAATATCTGGTTTACCCTACATCCTCTTACATAGCTATAAACCAAAGTCTACATTTGGGAACAGGGCTTACAATTTCACCCTTCAGTAAAGAAACAGGTTTTTTCACTTCATCTTTGGTTTTAATGAAATTTCCTGCCTTATCAGTACTTGGTATTCCTTTTGTTAGTTACCTTGTTCACAAACTTTAGGTTTTACCTGTTGAAGAACATGTACCTCTAAGGCTTCAGGAAAAGAACAGAGAATTTATGTGCTGTTGGGAAAGGAAGGACAACTTGAACTGAAAGTTTGCATAAGCACACTTTGATCATTGTTGTCCTTTCTAGCTGAGCTTAGGGACTTGGCTTTTAAGATCTCACACTTGTGTCTGCTCAGCACACACAGGGCTTCCAAATGTAGTGTTCATCACTGTCATTTTAGGGTACAGAATTTTATACAGTATTTTAAAATAAATGAAGATATCCTACAGATCCTTTAATTTAAAGTCCTTCATTTTTTATTGCTTGACATTTCATTTATCTACTTGGGAATTTAAGTTTTCATTGTTCTTTAGTTGTTTTATGCTGCTTTTCTTTTGTTGTTATTGTTTGTTTTGTTTCCTTAACCATTCTAATGGGTATGAGTAGAAAGAATAAGTGAATTTTAAATCAAACAACTTATGTCAAAATAGAACTTGTGAATGATTTCTTCATTCAAAACACATTTCCAAGGCAAAACACATTTCCAAGGCAAAAATTTAAGCGTTTTACATTCTCATACTAGAATTTGGAAGGAACAATTATTTGGTCAGAGGTCACCCGTGTACCAGGCAATTTGATTCCCTTCACTGGTTGTTAGTTTGTTCATTCAGAAAATATTTACATATCTAGCTCTATACATAGATTCAAATAAAGAGGTTTTCTTTCAGAGGCCACTTGACAATGCCTGTTGGTCATAATAGGAAGTGAGGGAGGACTACTGTCATCTAGTGGGTGTAGGTTTGATATGCTTCTGAACAGTCCACAGTCCACAGTAGACCCTACATCAAAGGATTCCCTAGGTATAATGTCAGTAGCATCAAGGTTGGTATGCTCTACAATAAACTCTTCTGATTATGGCACTAGTCTTAAATAAGAGAATAGATTTCTTCCATTGACACTGCTTCAACTCCTCTGATATTTGCTCTCAGATTCCTTTAATTTGTTGTGAAAAAGGATAGCTTAGGTTGCTCTGCTATTAGCCTGCTACTTTTTCTATAAGAGACTTTGGCCTGTGGAAAAGAAACTTAGTTTTATTTTTAATTTATTACAATGTGCAGAGTAGATGAGAACTTCATCTTTCTATATTTAGTGACCTTTGCAGCAGTTAAAATGAAAAGTCACAACCAGTAAGAAATGGTGGAAAAGTAACTGCAATAGGGACTCTTCTATTTGTCAACAGTTGAGGAAGTAGTTTGTTCCTCTAAACAAGCTCAATCTTCAGAGAATATGGATGCCTATACTATTTTTTGTGAATTAAAGAATTGATTTTATTGTGCCAAAACATTGAAATACATCCTAAAACTGAACGATACTAAAGTCATTCTGCTTCTGGAAGAATATCTTTTATGGCAAAGTTTATTTAGAAAAAAACATATCACTTTCTAGATTCATAAAATATTTATGTGTGAGGGAATTGCTATACCAGAGACCATATACTGAAAGAGAATTCAACGCCATAGAATTGTACACCTACTTTCAACTACGATAAATTCCATATCTCAGTTTGTAAAAAAACAATTGGTATCATTTTCAAGTAGAGTTTGAAGTCATGTTTCTGTATTATGCTTAGTTTTAATGTTGAAAAATAAAATTGTTTATTTTTTATGTATAAATTCTGATTATAAATTTCATTTCTGGTTAGGTGTTCCTTAACTGCTTCCCTAACATCCTTCCCTTCCCTTTTATCTGAGGTAATAAAGTCTAGGAACTCCTAGGTGTTTCATTTAATGACCTTGAGGTTCTGAGGCATCCTCAGAATATTCTCTCTTAGAGAAAGAGAGAATCCTGTCTCTATCCTCTCTCTCTCTCTCTCTCTCTCTCTCTCTTTCTCTCTCTCTCTCTCTCTCTCTCGTCAGTCTGAACTACAGAATGAGATTTTTTTTTTCAAAACTGAAATGAACAATTTTACAGTATAAATAAATAAACAAATGGGGAAGGGTATGTGTTCAATGCAAGGAACTCAGTTTCAAAAGATAATGCTTTTAGCTATAACTTTAATAGTAGAGACAGGAACTTGGAGCTTCTTGGTAGTACATCTATGTTACTCAGTGAATTCTAGCCAATGACTGAAAAAATGAGGCTTACAGCTTCTAAAGAATGAAACCTGAGGCTGTTTTCTGGCCTTAACACCTATAAACACACATGTAAATACACTCCACTGCAGTGCACCAACATGAACCTTCTCATCCTTATGGGCACAAGCAAAATAATAAAATGGCAAATGAAGAAACAGAAGCTAACTCCTGAGATACTACAATTTTACCCCTGTTTCCATATTTCTTCTGGATTTTGAAATTGATTCTTAATAGGTTGGCCAATTTTCATAATACTCTAGTAATTTTGAAAATAACATCATCTCTTTTTAAAAGATACCTCAGTTCAATAGTCCCCTGATGGTCTCATTCATATTTCATTCCATTTTCTAACATAATTATATAAATTATGTTTACTATCTTGTGTAAATTTTTATCATTCTTTTTTGAATATATTACTAGCATTATGAATCTATTGCCTATTAGAATATAGTAAGAAGTAGCCCATTTTCTCTACACAGACTAGATATTAAAGACAAAGCAATTAATTATGATGTGAAGGCAATTATTTTCTCCAATACGAACTAAAGAGTTGTCAGGGCAAGCAGGAAATAAGAAAGCAGATTGGTAAATACTGTGATTCAGTTAGAAAAATATTAAATACTTAAACACTTAAGGATTTAACTAACTTTGTGAAAAATAAATGGATTTCTTAGGAGATTTTTTTATATCTCAGGTAATTCCTTTTGTAAAATCTTTCAATATTTTAGTGAACATGAACAATTTTCTAATACATACTTTTCATTCCACCAAGGCTCATTAAAACTTTAGATGAAAATGTCTTTTCAAGATTCATTTTCATTTAATTATTATTGTCTCTCTTCTTCCTTGAATGGTAAGATATCTTATTTTAACTTACTTGGATATCCCCTCTTTTTCATGTCCTGTCTAATGTTACAGCAATACCAATTAGCTTAAAAATCATCTTGCCTACAGGTTGACAACTGAACCAATGTTGAATCTGACTCATTATTCTGATAGAACACTTGTTTATTCTTTCTCTAAGTTTTGCTTAGCATTTTCATTACTGACTACTTCATTTAAAAGAGATTCTGGGGTAAGTACTTTGGTAATTCTGAGACAAGCCACTGAAAAGTTATGCAAGATTTCTCTTAAGATCCTGAACTGAAATTAATGTTTCTTGAGAGGAGAGATTCACAGTATATAAGAGGAAGGAAAAGTTTCCAGCATTGCTGAGTTGAGCTGATAACAAAATTTCCATACCCTGCCCAGAACCTAATAAGGAAGAAAATGGAAGAAAGAATGAATTAGCTTCACAGAAAGCAATAATGCAAAGCTCAGTGTACAGATGCTGGAGCAGACACCTAGGTTCAGATCGTGCACCTCCTCCTTAGTGAAATCTGTCACATCAAGCAGATGTCTCACTCATTACTTTGTTGCTGAACTGAAAAACAAGATAATAAAGGCATCAAATTTGGACGTTCTTCAGAGAACTAATAAAATTAATGTACACAAAGTACAAGAGTTCTTTGTTTGATCCTATTATTATATCACTTTTAGGGACCTAACTAAGAAAGTTCATTGCATGCAATGGTCAAAGTTCTGGATGATGCACTCTGAACTGAATAGGCATTGAAGTAACCACTCTGCAAGTGAATTCCAGTGTTGTTTGCTTCTTTCAAGAACTGCAGCACTTTCAGCAAACTGATATTCCATCTCCATCCATTTCAGTTACAAGCCCTAAATATCTAAACAGCTTCTTATGAACACATATGGCTGCAGCAACTTAATTTTTTTTTAAATACTGGTCTTGGGAAGGTTCCTTTGTTAATTTCTTTTCCCAGAAAACAAGTGTGACTAAAACAACACCAGATTTTAAAAGATCAGACTAAACTGATTGAAGCTCGAAACCTGTCATTAATTCCTAGTACCTAGGAGAGTTATTTATCATATTTCCTAACTATTCTAGAACCTTTTATAGTTTTGCTTTTGTAGGGGGGTAAAATGGTTTTACTGCACAAATGATCTTTCACTTAAGTACTCAGTAAGTTGCAATTGTTTTCACTTTATTTTATTGTGTTTTGTTTTGTTTTTTGTTATTGTTCTTTCTTATTGTGTAGAGTAATAAGAAAATAATATTAATACACATCTATCAAGATATTCCCATTTCAAGAATTTACTTTAAAATGGTGAAGGATTTTTCACTGATGAGATAGATGTTTTTTAGTGTCTTCTTTTATGTTATCATGAATTGAATATACCTCTATATTCATATATATTTTACAAGCTAAACAGCATATATGCAATATCCCACAAATGCCCCATGATACCATCCATTTAAGTAAGAACTATTGTGCCCATCTGCATATGAGTAGATGATATATATTATATAAAGTCACAGAAGTGGTCAGGAGCTGAAGATCTTATAGTCTTAAAGTGTCTTTCTTTTCAAGATAGAATTCTTTTTCAGAAATAGAAAATATAAACTATCCTTAAATTTTATGAATATTATCATGTCCTCATTTATGTACCAGTTTTACATCACAGACAAACATTCAATTTCATATGATCCTTCCCTCAGAGTTGTTGCATATACACACATATTTGAAGAATGGCATTTACCTACTCAGTCCAAATAGACCCACTTTTGAAAGATTTCATGAAGAGGGCAGTTATCAAGGCTAATGATATTATACCATGCCACACCTCAGTGTAAATGAGAGCAACTTAAGAGAAAGAAAAGATAAGGATAAATGTATTACTTGAGGTAGAATCAGGGGAGTTGAGTCATATGTCTTTTTATCTTTAGATTAAATAATGTGTGTTTATGTGTTAACTCTGACCAGTTTTGCAAGCCAAATGAGAAAGACTTTGAAGTACCTGCCCACAAAATGCGAACTATATTCTCTTAAAGTCCTACATTTCAGCAACTGATGTTTAATTTTTGCCTAGAAATGTCTAAAGACTTATGATTGCTGTGTTATCAAAGCAAGTGTATTTTTGTGATCACATCCAAATCTGTCATTTAGCACATTTCCTCCTGGCTGGTATAAACAACATGGAAGTCTGTAGAACTAGAGTCATCTAGAAATGAGCATACAAGTAGGTCTGTAGACAGGAGAAAAGGAACAATAATATGGACTTTGAGATGAATAACTGAAGATTAACAGCTGGAGAACTTGCAAATTCAAATTGGAAAGTATATGGTCTGTATCAAGATTACCACAGAAGAAAGGCTCCAATTAAGTAGGTTTCTATAGAACCGATAAAAATCCCAATAAAGGGAACCAGAATCTGGATTTTATAAACAGTTTCAAAGGGTAAATAAGATTATACTAGTGACTAAATTTTTAGCAAAAAATTTCTATAGGCCTACTGTAGTTTGGTATTAATTTTGAGAAGGAATCAACAATAATTCATTTTATGACTCAAGGATAATTATAAAAGGAATATAGAAGACAAAGAATTTATTTTCTTTTTTTCTACAAAGAATAGAGAGCACATTAAAAAATTGACATTCACTAACCTCAGGATTTTTTGACTGTAAGATGGACTGTCTCTGAGAGCAGCATACCTTTAGATCACTTTTCTTGTAATTATTGGTCTAACATTCAATAAAATTAATAAGCCTTTGAGATGCTTAGGCACTCATTCATTCTACCAGCATCCATATAATTATTGCTACATGACTTCTTTGATTTTGATTAATATCAAATCCTGAACATTTAGTTCTTGGATACAGTAAAATTGCTTATCATTTGAACTTTTCCCTTTGGGGTCCACCAGAAATAAAGATGAAAGCAGTACCCAGTGAGTAGAGACTTAAGGTAGACATAAAAGTATAAAATATATACCATGTCCATTGTCAGGTTCAAAGCCTGGGAGAAGCATGCCAATATTCCAAATTGTAAGATGAATAGAACTTTGATAAGAATCAGAATTGTGATGTAATGAATGGAAATTGAAAGGTTTTTTTGCTTAGGGTACTCTAAGGAAGCTGCTAGGTCAATTTATGATATCCAAAAGGGGCATAAGAGTAGACAGGAGGACCAATGGAACCAAATTGAAGACCCAGATATTAATCCACATACCTTCGAACACCTGATTTTTGACAACAAAGCAAAATATATGAAATGGGAAAAAGAAAACATATTTAACAAATAGTGATGGCATAACTAGATATCAACATGTAGAAGAATGAAAATAGACCCATATCTATCGACATGCACAAAACTCAAGTCCAAATGAATCAAAGACCTCAACATAAAGCCAAACACATTGAAACTTATAGAAGTCAAAGTGGGAAGTACACTTGAGTGCATTGGCAGAGGAGATGACTTCCTAAATATAACCCCAACAGCATAAACACTGAGAGAATTAATAAATGGGACCTTCTGAAACTGAAAAGCTTCTCTAAAGCAATGGAAATGTGGTAAACAAGACAAAATGACAGCCTGAAGAATGGGAAAAGATCTTCACTAACCCCACATCAGACAGAGGTCTGATCTCCAAATTATACAAAGAACTCAAGAAATTGGTCATCAAAAGAACAAATAATCAAAAAAAAAATGGAGTACAGACCTAAACAGAGAAATCTCAACAGAGGAATATAAAATGGCTGAAAGACACTTAAGGAAATGTTCAACATTCTTAGTCATCAGAGAAATGCAAATCAAAATAACTCTGAGATTCCATCTTATACCTATAAGAATGGTCAAGATCAAAAATACTGATGACAACTTATACTGGAGAGATTGTGAGGAAAAGGGAACACTTCTGCATTCCTGGTGGGAATGCAAACTGATACAGTCCCTTTGGATGTCAGTGTGGTGATTCTTCAGAAAATTAGGAAACAACCTTCCTTAAGACCCAGTAATACCACTTTGGGGTATATATTGATAGAATGTTGTATTGTGCCACAAGGACATATGCTCAACTATGTTCATAGCAGCATTGTTTGCCATAGTCAGAACCTGGAAATATCCTAAATGCCCCTTAACCAGAAAATGGATAAGGAAAATGTGGTACATTTACACAATGGAATACTACACAGCAAAACAAAAAATTAACAAAATCTTGAATTTTGCAGAAAAATGGATAGTGCTAGAAAACATCATTTTGAAAGAGGTAACCCGTACATACAAAGACAATTATCACATGTACTCACTCATAAGTGGTTTTTAAACATAAAGTGAAGAAAACCAGCCACAAATTGCAATCCCAGACAATCTAGACAACAATGAATACCCTAAGAGAAATATATATAGATTTAATCTACATTGGAAGTAGAAAAAATAAGATCTCTTGAGTAAATTGAGAGCATGGGGACCTTGTGGGAGGACTTAAGGGAAGGGGAGAGGCAGGTATTATGCCCAAATCCACAAAGTCCCTGCAAAAGTCAACAAGGAGACTGATTCCTGTATGTAAAGCAAAGAGCCTTTATTTTAATCAAGTTTGCAAACTCAGTCTCTCAGCATTTTCAACATAATGGAATAAATGGAGAGCCCCAAGCTCAATTAGAATAGGGTTTTAAAGTACTAAAGGTGGGGGTGAAGGGTTTCTGAGGTTTAGGACTCCTGATTGGCTGACATTTGTCTAGGGATGTCCTGGTGAGTATGTTTTGGCAGGTGTTCCTATCTACAGCTATTGGAATGCCAGGCATTTCCTTTGAATGGTCTGTTCTTGGATGGTGCAAGCTAATCTCAGTTTGTGGTACTTTCTGTGACCAGGTATTCCCTCAGGATAAATTACTGAGACTCAGGCCTCTTATTAAATTTATTGATGGCTGAATTCCACTCTGGCAGATGATAATGGTTGGAAGTAAAGAACTTTCTTTGGGTGACCTGCCCATACTTAGCCTATCATCATTGACCCTCATACAGGGAGGGGAGCAAAGAAATTGTAAAAATCAATAAAAATCAATAATAAAAAAAGATTGGGAAATTACTCCACTATAATAACCAAAATTAAATATGTCTTGGAATAGCATTAACCATGTATATACATTTAAACACTGAATGAAGGACAAAAGAAGATAAAAAGGAACTACCCTGATTGGAAAAAATTGTCATCCTACCTAAAGCAGTCTACAGATCTAAAGCAATACCAATCATGGAACTCACTATACAGATGAAGGAGATCTAAACTCACAGGGGAATGTTTGCAACTGCTCTGCTATGTAGTGTTGGCATTAAAGGCAACTCGTGTCACACACATGACCTTAAATGATTTTTGTAACAAGAGGATGATGGGAAAAGTCAACTGGAAAGCTTCATGCGGGTTGCAGTGCTGAAACTGAGCAGTGGGTGACCTTCCCTCCCTGCCTTTCTAAGTCTCTGGCTTGTCTTGGTCAAGGCTTGGAGAAGAATTAGCTTTGAAAAAGGCTGTGGAACTTATTTGGAGACTGCTTTGCTAGCCTACCTTCTGGAAGAGGTTTCTGTGTTGGGCATTCCTGCCGAGATAGAGCTGGTTTGATTATGGAGTGTTAGCAGCTAGCCTTAATGTGTCTTTTGTGATTGCTGCCATTCGTTTCTGGGTACCTTCTGTAGGAATCTGATCAGAGAGTTTTCTAAAGGCCCACAGCCTGTGCAAACTCGGTTGAGGAACAACCCGGAAAAATACAGGTATTCCTTATCTGAGAATCTGTGTTTTTGGCATTGCCCTTTTGGGGAGCTAAGATACAAGGTAGTGGGATATGGAAATTAATTTGCTAGGGTTTAAATTGGAGAACAACAAAGAAAACCTTTGCTAAGCAACAGAGAGTCAGTCCCATCAGGATTGTAAAAATGATTATTATTATGTCTATCCCTATTATCTACCTGTCCAATTTATTCTAAGCATTAATTACATACTTGCAAGTATAAATATATGCATCTGGAATTAGAAATTAAATGATTAACATATGCCACAGTTGCTGATTTCACAATAATGAAATGAACTGGGTATGAATGAGTTAGCTGCTAAAAGACATGACAATGATACCGCAACAAAACCAACAGAGCCAGTGCTTGAACTAACTTTATTTAAGAAAAGAAATATATAGCCAGATGAAATAGTGCAAATCTTGATGTCAGCTTGACACAGGCTACAGTTGTTTCCCTCAGACTAGTTTCTAGCCATCTTGTACTACTTTGTGTTGATTAATAACTGATATGAGAGGACTTAAGACACTGTGAGCAATACCACCCTTTGGGTGGTGGTCTTAGGTTCTGTAAGCAAACTGGACAAGCCATGGGACACAGCACAATAAATAGTGATGTTTCATGGCTTTTATTTCAGTTGCTTGAGTTGCTTTCCTGATTTCCCTTAACGATGTATTTTTCTCAGACAGTATAAGATTATATAAACTCTCTCCTTACCAAGTGCCTTGTAGTGACAGCATTTTATCAATAATAATAGAAACCCAACTAAGACACTTAATGAACTGATAAAACCATACTTTAGTCTACCATTTAACTGCAATCTGACACTAACTCTCCTGTTCAACAAAGCTGAACAAGTAGAACACACTCACATGCTCTCAGTTAAAGATCCATCTGATTTAGAAGCTCATCTACAATTATTTACAAATTTGATTTTTCATGGAGCTAAGGTTTATCTAATCCAGTCAAATTCTGAAAGTGAATGCCCCAAGAACAAATACTAAAGGTTAGAAAGTGATTTGGGATTTCCCTCTGTATGTTGTGAATACCATTGGTTAATAAAGAACTGTCTTTGCCTAGGATAATGCAAAAGAGTAGAGCTAGGCAGGGAAAACTAAACTGAATGCTGGAAGAAAGAAGGACTGAGACAGAGAGAAGCCATGTAGCCCCACTGGAGCCAGAAGGAACTTTATCCGGTAAACCTCAGCCATGTGGCAATACACAGATTACTAGGAATGGATTAAATTAAAATGGAAGAAATAGTCGATAAGAAGTTAAAGCTAATATCTTTCTCCTCCTTTCACCTGATCCCCAGTCCCAGCTTCCCGGAGCTTCACTAACCAAACAGATGGCATAATGCCTGTGGACTCATCCTGCCAAGGACAGGTTCTCAGAGCTAAGCAGTAAGGTCCCCCAGAAGCATGGGGACTGGTGGGTGAGATGGAGGAAAGGCTGGCGAAGGTGGCACAGGCAAGTCTACCTCCAACAGCAGACTGCCTGGCATCCCAGAGATCACACCTACCTCCTCTGTCTGGAAGGCTATTCCCAAGGCATCTGCTCAAGCTCTCGGGGGCCTGGGGCTGCCCACACATGCTCCCAGAAAGGTTCACCTTTAAAATGGACCAGTCCTCTCAGCAGGGGTGTATTTCTAAGGCAGAGCTCTGAGAAGATTCCCCTCTCTCTGGAGGTCTACGGAGAGAGGGGCAGTGCCCATGGTTCCCCCTCAGGGCACTTTGGGACCTCAACTGCAGATCAGTCAGCCAATTATACTCCAGCTCATAAACCTTGGAAGACAGAAGCATGGAACGCTGCTTTCATGCCAGGTAACCACCCGCATTTCCTTGTCCCCAACCAAGGAGCTCTCAATATCTCAAAGAGCTCTGAGAACTGCAAACATTGAGGAAGGCCAGGCTGTGGTGGGGTCTTTCAGAACACTATACTGTTAGGAATATTTCTTAGGTGAGCCTCTATACCAACTCAAATAATTCCAATCAGACCACAACAGAACAAACAAAAGATTCTCACGTTTTGTGAAGTAGAAAAAGACAAGAACTCCTGTGTAAATAGGGAGCATGGGGACCATGGGAGAGGGTTGAAGGGGAGGGGAAAGGCAGGGAGGGGAGCAGAGAAAAATGTAGAGCTCAATAAAATCAATAAAAAAAAATACAAGGGGAAAAAAAAGAAGTTAAAGCTAATAGGCCAAATAATGTTTTAAATAATATAGTTCTTGTGTGTTTATTTTGGGGCTGAGTGGGTAGGAA